TTTAGATCCTACCTGTCCGATCGCTACCACTTTGTTTATTTAAATGGAGAGTCATCTCAATTATCACCAGTAAGATATGGAGTGCCACAAGGAGCTGTCCTAGGTCCTCTGCTATTTTCAATATACATGTTGCCCCTTGGTAATATTATTAGAAAATACGGGATTAGTTTCCACTATGCTGATGATACTCAACTATATATCTCAACAAGAGCAGATGAAACTTCAAAATCATCTAAGCTAACAGAGTGTGTTAAAAATGTAAAATATTGGATTACCAATAATTTTCTCCTATTAAATTCAAGTTTTGTATTTCATTTGGAAACCAAGGTCCTAGAGTCTGGAGGAAGGGTGGAGAAGCTCATAGCCCAAGTTGCTTGAAGTCCAGTGTTAAGTTTCCACAGTCTGTGATGATTTGGGGTGCAATGTCATCTGCTGGTGTTGGTCCATTGTGTTTTTTGAAAACCAACGTCACTGCACCCGTTTACCAAGAAATTTTGGAGCACTTCATGCTTCCTTCTGCTGACCAGCTTTTTGAAGATGCTGATTTCATTTTCCAGCAGGATTTGGCACCTGCTCACACTGCCAAAAGCACCAAAAGTTGGTTAAATGACCATGGTGTTGGTGTGCTTGACTGGCCAGCAAACTCACCAGACCTGAACCCCATAGATAATCTATGGGGTATTGTCAAGAGGAAAATGTGAAACAAGAGACCAAAAAATGCAGATGAGCTGAAGGCCACTGTCAAAGAAACCTGGGCTTCCATACCACCTCAGTAGTGCCACAAACTGATCACCTCCATGCTACGCCGAATTGAGGCAGTAATTAAAGCAGAAGGAGACCCTACCAAGTTATTGAGTACATGTACAGTAAATGAACATACTTTTCAGAAGGCCAACAATTCACTAAAAAATTTTTTTTTATTGGTCTTATGGAGTATTCTAATTTGTTGAGATAGTGAGTTGGTGGGTTTTTGTTAAATGTGAGCCAAAATCATCACAATTAAAAGAGCCAAAGACTTAAACTACTTCAGTCTGTGTGCACTGAATTTATTTAATACACGAGTTTCACAATTTGAGTTGAATTACTGAAATAAATGAACTTTTCCACGACATTCTAATTTATTGAGATGCACCTGTATGTATATATAACAAAATGTACCGATAAGAATACCGTTAAAGTACCCGATCGATAAGCAGTATCGGTAAGAGTAGTAATACCATTAAAACCTTAATGATACCCATCCCTAATGCCATGATATGAAAACTGAATACAATATTATAAAAATATTAATGCCACGATTTTAATATTCATACAGAGTCATTTGTGTGTCTGTAAAGTTCATACATAAATAATTTGTTTTAGATGCTGTCAATATGTCAATATTGTACCTTCAGATGCTGTCATCATATGTTTCAGTGTATGTGCAAACGTAAGTAAATGTGTGTGTGGTAGAACCACAATTGACTTAAAAGTACATACAAATAATCATGTTGCATTTCTAGTCTAACTTCATTCATCCCCTAAGCAAAATGTTTTCTTTAAATATAGCTTTGAACAAAACTGGTTTAAAACATCTTGAGGCCAACAAAGAAAGAATTCAGCTTAAAATTTGTGATGTAGCATATTTGTAAACAAGCCAGTAAGAATGATAAAATATGTCTAAAACCTGATATTTCAAGTTAGAATCTCATAGCTTGTGAACGTTCCAAACAAATATTGAACCTGTGGGTTTTTATTAAAGAATATATTAGAAGCCATTAATTTTAAGGCTAGGGACTCACCATGTTCAGACATTCATCCGTCCATTCATCCATCCATCTTTCCATCCATCCGTTTCTCCTCTATTGGGTCTCACGGATTGCTGGAGCCTATTCCAATCTCTCATGCACAAGGAACAGAAACACTCTGGACAGGTGATTAGTCCATCTCAGGGCATGTTTGATGTACAACAGAATCGGAGATAAAAATAAATAAATAAATCCTCTTGGTCCTACAAAATGTAATTGTTTCATTGTGCAAACGAAACACATTTTGTATGTATTTATGTATGTATGTATGTATGTATGTATGCATTTATTTATTTAATTATTTTCATAATTAAAAAACAAAACACACACATACACACACAATTGTTTCCAGATCGTATTTCTCATCACTAACATAAAAAGGTAAAATAAATACAGTAAAAATTCATGATTCTGTTGTCTCCACACATTATTAACTTTATAAACCTGTATTAAATATTTGTAACAAGCATTGTTGTTTTATTAATTTCCTTCAACATTTCTATATGAAATTGTGAACCTTGCATCATAAACAATTTATTCATAGCATCATAAACATTTTTAAGATCAACTAGCAGTGACATCCCATTGCAAAAAAACACAAATTTCCCCAACCTCCTCATAGATGTCATAATTTATGAGGACCTTAAAAAGATCAAAGCAAAAGGTCAAAAACACACCAAACAAACAAACCACACCCAAAACATTTGGGTATAAATGCAGACACAACAACATTAAAAGCAAAAACTGCAGGAGAGTATTTGTTCTTCAGAAACGTCAAACATTTCCTTTTGGACAATTTGGTAAGATGAAAATAAAAGTCCATATTTAGTTGTTGTTTTTTTACATTGTACATGTTTTACTAACAAAAACTATATATATATATATATATATATACACATTTTTTTTTTTTGTCTTTTGCAGAATACATTGTGACAGACCAACAAAAGGATGGGGAAACCTGTCCCGCTATATGTTATAGCACTGCTGTCTTTTCTTGCCAGTAAGCCACATAATAGATATTAACTATGACAATAATCATAACTCACTGGTGACTGATGAAATCAATTAAATTATTTAATGTCAGGTTTATATATTAAATAATATGCTGTTTTGTCAGGCATAAAATATCTTCTATACAATTTTTGATACAAAAGCTTACGATTACAGCTCTGAAACTGTCTGTTCTGTTTTCACTCAACCAGGAGAAAAAACTGAGGCAGAAGGTAATGACAACATAATGCTATTAAATATGTATATTTTTTGTTTTTATGGGTGACTGAAAAAATGACCACTGTTTTAGTTGAAATTGTGTTGAAGTATGATGAATAATGCATTCTTTAAATTCTTTTAATTTATACATTAGCAATATACTGTTATTTAATGTTATTTAATTCAACTGCACAACATTTCTGGCCATGTTAAATTTGACCACATTAGGCGGTTACATTTGTCAGGTGGCTAACACTTTATATGTTTAATAAATTGTCTATGTTCACCATTATGTACTAATTTATTATGATTTAAAAACGAATATTGGGCTAAAATAAAAGAACATTAACACAAAATTAGGCATAAAAACATTACTGATCATTTTACTAGCCAGCGTCTCTGTCAAACTCTGACATTTTAGAAATGAATAGTAATGTACCATATCTAATCAAAAGTCCAAGGTACATTAATTTCACTTCTTACCTTTTTTTTTCTTCTTGTAGCTGTCCATGATATTGTTCCCATGACAAACTTTAAAGAGGGAGAATGTACTTTTGCTGAATTACTCAATTAAATTTCCAGTGAGAAGTTAGCATTAAATATATGATTGTTTGCATAAAGAAATACTATTCATAATTACTGTTTGATTACTGTATGCTGGAATATTGAGGATAGCCCAATTAATCTGATTCAGTTTCTCCTCATTCGCCATATTTCTGACCATGCACAATTCAAGGCTCTCTCTGTTAATGGAGATGGATTGTGGATTAAATAATGTCAGTTTTGGTAGGCTCTGCTGATGATCATGAATTTGATGAAAAGGAAAGAAAAAGTAAAGTCACTGAAACAGATAAATAGCCAAAGCCTAATAATGACACTGCATATACTGCTGTATAATTTAAGATTCAAATAGAAAATTGATATAGAACTGGTAATTTAAATGTTTCTCTGAAGATTCATCACGATGTTTTATCATTTACAATGCCTTCAACAGCAGCTAATCTCCTGCCTTTTGGGGTTGGAGACACACTAAACCCCATATTGGATGATGGAAGCTCTCAAGCCATTTCCTTACAACAACCTTTCAAATACTTCGGAAGCACATACAATCATGTCTTTGTAAGCATTTGTGATTGCAGATTAGATTGCAGATTCATTTACTATATGGTTATATATTAATTGGTTCTCATTTTTCATAGGTCTTTTTGCAGTGCACAGCGTCATTCATATTTAGTTTGGTCAAACATTTTGATTTGATAACTTGTTCTCAATTTTAGGTGAACAACAATGGCCATCTGACATTTACTGAACCACTGTATTCCTACAACCCAATTTTGAAGTCTGACAGAGACATCATTGCCCCTCTGTGGACTGACCTTGACAATCGACGTGGTGGATCTATCTCCTATAGAGAGGATACAAGCACTGCTGTACTGGCACAAGTCACTGCAGCTGTTAAGCAATACTTCCCCAACATACCATTTGCTGCTACAACAGCTTTTGTGGCTACCTGGGACAGGGTGCCGTACTATAATGGTGGAGGGGTAAGACTTAAGTAAACAAAGCTTATCAGTAAATGATATCTTTCATTTTGATTGATTGATTTATTTATTTATTTACTTATTTATAATGATGTCTATTTATGTTGTGAAGGTGGTCACTTTCCAAGTAGTTTTAGCGTACAGTGTTCATCGCTCTTTCATTCTGATCAATTATGGTGATGTTGCTGCAACAACACAAAGTTGGCTGGTGAGTGGTCTTTAAATTTTTTACAGATTACAAAATTAAATCAAAGGAAAGAAAATTATTTGATCTATTCAATCAGTACTTCTTCTAATAACCAAACAAAGCTTTGTTTTGTAAAGGTTGAGAATTTTAAAAATGCTGTTTACTTCTACAGGCTGGTTATCATACTGTGGACTCTGTCAATTCTTACACTATTCCAGTAAAAAGCGCCCCAGAACTGTCATCCAGCAGCAATATCAATGTGAATGGTCATTGGTCTTTCCATGTTGATGGCTCACCGAACTGTAAGCCAATGTTTCAAAAGTAACATTTCTGAGTTTAAGTTTCATTAGCAGAAATAAATAATTCATTGTAACATATACTTTGCCAAGTGCCTACTAAATTCCTAGATTTTTGAAGAAGCAAATATAGTGAAAACCATTGCTGATAATAGAAGCTCTGAAGCCATTATGGTGCAGCAGGCTTTCAAATACTTTGATTGCACATACAGTCAGATATTTGTAAGCATTACGTATTTCTCAACCATTTACAACATGTTATTTATATACATTATATCTCTTTAAAATTCTCTTCAAAACCCTTTTGAAAAAAATTGGTCCTTAATTTTAGGTGAACAATAGGGACTATCTGACGTTTACTGAGCCACTGTTTGCTTACAACCCCTCTCTGGATTCCGCAAGCTTAACCTGTATCATTTGAGAGCTTGTTTCTTCAGCAGAAGCAGAAAGTTCATTCTCACTTATCCTTCCCTTAGTGCCAACTAATTTCCTCTCTTCTGGGGATGGAGAAATTATGAACCGCCCTGCTGAGGATGGAAGCTCGGATGTCATTTTCTTGCGGCAGCCTTTCAAATACTTTGGACGCACATACAATCAGATCTTCGTAAGCATTACCTTTCCCGTACCATTTAAGTTACAAGTTATTTACATATCCCTCGTTTCTTCTAAATTATCTTTAAAATACTTTTAAATAATTGTGGTCATAAATTTTAGGTTAACAACAACGGCTACCTAACATTCACCGAGCCGCTGTCTGCCTACACCCCCTTTCTGGATTCCCCAAGAGACATCATTGCTCCTCTTTGTACTCGCATTGACAATCGGCATAGTGGATCTATCTCCTATAGAGAGGATACAAGCACTGCTGTACTGGCACATGTCACTGCAGCTGTTAAGCAATGCTTCCCCAACATACCATTTGCTGCTACAACAGCTTTTGTGGCTACCTGGGACAGTGTACCTTACTATAATGGTGGAGGGGTAAGATTTACCGTAATCTTTGATTATTAATCAATGGTCTGTCTTGTAGCTTTGGAAGGTGTTGAATGCTGTCTGTTGGTGTTTTGAAGGTGGTTACTTTCCAAGTGGTTTTAGCGTACAATGTTCATCGCTCTTTCATCCTGATCTATTACGGAGATATTGCAGAAACAGAACAACCTTGGCAGGTCAGTGAAGTACTACAGTACTTCGTGTACATAGATAGTACAAACGATAAAAATGAGTACAAACATACAATTTATAAGGCAATGCTCGTTAATGTGAAAGAACGGTTTCTCTATCTCCATCTCTTTTCAATTAAATTTTTATTGTATTTTACATTATTTATTTAATTCTTAATGAATTATATACTTTTTTTATTTTCTCCTACAGGCTGGTTATAACACTGTGGACTCTGCCAGTTCTTTCACAATTCCAGCAGCCAGTGTCCCTGAGCTGTCTTCAAGCAGTAATATCAATGTGACTGCTTGCTGGTCTTTCCATGTTGATGGCTCGCCAAAACGTAAGCCTACAACTTGTAATATTGTTTAGAAAAAACATTAGCTGGCACATTGTTTTTGAGTGCACTTTCGGCCTTTTAATAAGCCAATTCAGATACTGGATGCATCAGTTGGTGAGTCATACTATGCATTTCCAGAAAAGTCTGGCAGATTGTAGTGGTCAGCTCTACTCCCCACAACCTTGCACTCAGAAGCAGCCTGCGAGCTGGCTGACTGCCCTGGGCAAATTCTGATCAGCGCTAATTTCGTGGGCATGAGACTCTAGCTCCCTTACCTGTTTTGCATCATTTATGCAGTGAATCGGGTCCCAAAAACATGTGGCTCACTCCAAAATAAACAACACTATTAGAGAGCACAATTCAATCTTAGTGAATTCCCCTTTCAAACTTTTAAGCAGGGCAGTGTTTGCGAACTTATATTTCTGGGGAAAAGAAAAAAAAAACTAAAGGATTCCTTGTAGAGGTCTTCACCGAGGACCCGAGGCCCGAGGACCCGGGACCCAACCTGGGATCCGTACGGGTTCGGGGCTATATTTTAAATGGTCTGCCGGGTCCGGGTCGGGTCCCGGGTCTGAGCAATTTGCTGTAGAATATGTGCCGATCGGGTCCAGTCGGGTCTGTATCTTCCCGGCCGGGTTCGGGTCCATCTTTCAAATAATTTACGGTCCGCGTGGGTTCCGGGTAGTACATTTTTGACATTTCTCGGTTATGCACGGGCCCGGGTCCAACTTTCAAAATAATAGACGGGTCCGGGTTGGTACAGTGTAGCACATTTATGGGTCTCTTCGGGTTCGGGTATGAATTTTTGGACCCGTGTAGACCTCTAATTCCTTGTCACTTACATTTGTCCTAGTGCCAGCTAATGTCTTACCTTTTGGAAATGGAGAAAGAATAACACCCCGTTTGGATAATGGAAGCTCTACCTTTTGGAAATGGAGAAAGAGTAAAACCCCGTTTGGATAATGGAAGCTCTGAAGCCATTACATTGCAGCAGCCTTTCAAGTTTTTTGGACGCACACACAACCAGACCTTTGTAAGCATTTTAGTTGTCGTTGTCCTTATTTAGATGATCAGTTGTTTTATCTGCTTGCACTGGAAATGACAAGTCTCTTCAAATTAGTAAAACTAGTAGCTCTACTTTTTTCAGACGTTGCTACCTTGATGTATGAGTGTTTTAAATTTGAAATTCAGAGGCCTTTTGATTCGTATAATTAACCAGTAGGAATTATGCCAAATTCTGCCTCTTCATTCTGTCACCATATATTTCCCCTCACAACACGTGCAAACGTTTTGTCCTAAACTTTAGGTCAACAACAATGGCCATCTAACGTTTACTGAGCCACTGTCCGACTACATCCCCCTGCTGAATTCTGGAAGAGACATTGTTGCTCCTCTCTGGACTCACCTTGACAACAGACGTGGTGGAACTATCTCTTATAGAGAGGACACAAGCAGTGCTGTACTGGAGCTAGTAACTGCAGCTATTGACCAATACTTCCCCAACATAACTTTTGCTGCTACATCAGCTTTTGTCGTGACCTGGGACAGTGTGCCATACCACAGTGGTGGAGGGGTAAGATCGAATTGTTGTTTATCAATTAATTAGTGTTGTCCTGTAAAGTTGTTTCAAGCTTTCTCTTGGTATTTTGAAGGTGGCTACTTTCCAAATGGTTTTTGTCTCCAATGTCCATCGCTCCTTCATCCTCATCAACTATGGAGACATTGCAGAGACGGAACAAATGTGGCTGGTGAGTGGTGACAGGTCCTTGTAAGCTTTACGAATGAAACTGATGACAAGGATTTGCCCTTGCCTCGCTTCATACCTTACATTCTACCAAAAGGCAGTTATATCTGGAACAGGTTGATGACCTAACAACGATTCCTTTTTACTTCTACAGGCTGGTTACAACACATTGGACTCTGTCCATTCTTTCACAGTTCCAGTGACCAGTGCCCCAGAACTCTCATCCAGCAGCAATATCAACATGAATGGTCGCCGATCTTTCCATGTTGACGGCTCACCTAACTGTAAGAGGTCGGCGCTCTTTACATGTTGACGGCCCACCGAACTGTAAGCCAAAGCAACCAGAAGCTCAAGCTTAACCTGTACCATTTGTGAGCTTGTTTCTTCAGCAGAAGCAGAGAGTTCATTCTCACTTATCCTTTCCTTAGTGCCAAATAATTTCCTCGCTTCTGGGGATGGAGAAATTATCAACCCCCCTGCTGAGGACGGAAGCTCGGATGTCATTTTCTTGCAGAAGCCTTTCAAATACTTTGGACGCACATACAATCAGATCTTCGTAAGCACAACATTTCCTGTACCATTTAAGTTACAAGTTATTTACAAACCCCTCTTTTTTTTTTTTTTCAAAATTCTCTTTAAAATACTTTCGAATGATTGTGGTTACTAAATTTTAGGTGAACAACAACGGCTACCTAACGTTCACCGAGC